TAAGTTAAACATAATTTGAGATTACTCGATGAAACTTGGTACACATGTTCCTTGGCACCTAAGGGGGATAAAAGGTACAACGAGTTGCATTAGTGGGTGTGGCCCCGCCAATTAATAAGTTTAATGTACACTTCTCCTAAGCCAAATTCGCTCAGGGTAAACCTTTTTGGCATCTCTACCCACCACGTGAAAATGGATGAATTCTGATTATAACCCCGCCCACTCCCTATATAAAGGTTTTGCTAAAAGCTATCAAAAGCGCGATAAATCTATAAATGCGCTAGAGACGTAAAATTTTACACCCTAGATGGTATGAGAGGGCTTTATAGGAGCCGGTGTTAAATTTAGACGATGGGCATGGCACCGCCAATCTTCAGGTGAAAACCCATATCTCGGAACCTACTTGATCGATTTTAACTAATTTCGGTACGTAATATTGTTCTAATATTTCTGTGCGAAACTCTGCGAAAAAAAACCACGACCACTTTTCATATAACACAACTTTAAATTCCATTTGTTTTTTTCACTTTCCAGTAACAAATCAAGAATCAATCAGTGTATCCAGATAAGACTTTGCCCGAATAGCGCCTTTGAGGCCGCCCAGATACCGAATATGTGGACCCCAATTCTTAATGGGAACTTTTTATTAAAAATTACGGTTAATCTGTGAGATATACTCGTATTATGAAAACTCGGAGAAAATCTTTTCTGAAAATAGTATGTCTGTACGTCAAGAATGAGTTCGGTCGGATCAAAAAATCCTTTGGTCCCCATATACCTAATAGAATACGAACTACCGGCTGACCTTATAAAGCCTTTGTTGTAAATAACGAAGCTTAATACACATTTGTCTACTCACGCCAAAGTTGTTGCTCGAATTATTTTCTCAAAAAGTTGTTCAAATAAAAGAGCACATGATAAGGAATCACATCATCTAAAAACCTATTTTAGTATTAAATGGGCCTCATGATGTTAAAACAACACTTAAAGATCCCAGCAGTTCGCTCAAGTACACACAACATTAAAATAATCATGTAAGAGATATGTATATAATAGGCCATTTCCATTATTGTTAGCACAGTTTATCAGACAAATACCAGACAATTATCTTGTTTTTAAGTTACAATCGGCAGCATTCTTCAAACTTTTGATACTTCATATAGTCCCTCGATCTGCGAAGCTTCTAGTTATCTAAGGCGAGTTCTAGGTAAGATGTGTTTCAGCGTCTTTCTCACGCCACTTCCTGCATGTGTCGTTCTTGCCCTGCCCATTCGGCTTAAATGCGAGGCTAGTAAATTGTAACCTGTCACTAAGCCAACAAACGTTCTGCAGCGTTTTCCACACCGTATGAATAAAAAATTATGCGCGTTTTCCTTCGGAGCCGTTGCACATGATCTTGCCGACCCTGTATGTTCTTAAGGCATTCTTTATCACCTTGATCCGTTTATAAGTCGGAAATTTAATTATTTATCATTTTAACGACTTGTGTATTTCTTGTATTGGTTCGGTAACTAGACAGATTTCACTTTTGCAATCATGTCAACTATTTTGTTTCGCGGAGTGCCCATGTGGCTTGGAACCCAGTATATATGTAGCTGCTTCCTGGTAGCCACTACATCTACTGCCTCCCAGTTTTTAAGGATATTCTCTGACGTAATACGATGTGCGTTGGGCTATCGACATATATTGTGATCTTCTTTATATTATTTTCTACGTTGTTAACTAACTCAGCCGCTTTCCTAATCTCACAGACTTCCGTCTGAAAGATACGGCAGTATTCCGTAAGCTTAAAGCGTCGCCTGAGATCTAGCTCCGAGCAATAGATTCCAATTTATGATCAGTTTGTGTAGATGTTGCAAGTTTCGTTTTCGTGCCATCCACTCTCCACCAATCCCCTGCTTATCGAGCTATGCCAAAACGTTCTTGTGAAGCATTCAACTTCCTGGATCTACGCTTCGAAGAGGCTTGCGGTGCTTTTGATATATTAATCTAGGGCTTGGACAATAATTTCCTTAGCCTAGCTACCTCGGTTTTCTTTTCTACCTTACTACTCTCTTTTTTATACTCCTTGAGTACATCTTAATATTCCCTCCAGCAGGACTCATCTTGACCGGTTCGAAGAGTTCCTTAACACTACGCGCAAGTTATCCGAGCCCCTTGTTCCACCAAGGTGTACTGGCTGGCACGCGATGTAATACGCTTTTTAAATAATATTTGTAAGTGTGGCTGTTCGTTCCTCTAGTTCAGGGATTAGGTCACACTTCTGCTTATTTATATGTACATATATATAACTCTATATCTATCCCGATTAGTTTTAGGTATTACAAATAAACGTTCGGTGGACAAAACTATTAAACACTGCACTTGTGCGCCTAAAACTATGCAATTGCTTTATTACTGTTAATAATTTAACTAAAAAAGCGGTTGCGGCTTAACAAAATGTACTTTACTGTAGGTAAGCTATGTCATAAACGGCTACTTTCGTCTCTGAAAATATGTATTAAAATGTATTGTATAGTTAGCGTGTTTGAAAAGATTTCCATAAACGATAATTAATATACTAACATAAAACTATAAATTAATAAAATTATATCTAGAAAATATTTTGGTGACTGGAATAATTGCATAACAATGAACCGCTAGGCTAAGCCCAGTAAAAGTAAAGTGTGGCCATATTATTATTCAATTACTTTTATAAAATAAATAATTTGCCACAAAACAAAAATACGCTCAGATACTCCCAGATGTTACTTAAAAATAATCCATTTGCCGTAAAACATTGGGCAATAAATATTGTCTAACTTTGAAACAATAATTTTTTAAAAGTCACTAACCACAAATACAATGAGAACATGCTTGACTTGTGAGTTGTTATCATGTTATCTTTAGAAACGTTAGCCTCTAGCTTACAGCACCGACGTCATTTTCTGATTTCTTCTAAATTTCTGTAGAATCTTCTCCATACCAAATTTTCGAAGCGTCTGCATTGGTCATAAATACTAACTATGTTAGGTCACTTCAGTATGCTATATATGTATGTACGTAACGTATGTTTACAACAGAAACATCAAAGGGCTTCCGCCAGGATTTCCTTCAAGATAAATTTTTATATTTTAGTTCTCAGAGATAGAATTTATGCGTAGAGAAGATACATATTTATTTGCTATATTTTTAGATCCTGTAATATTGAGTCAGCTACCTTCAACTCATATGTGAAGTGTATGGTTGTGAGGCAGTACATTTTTAAACACTTTTGCTTAAAATTTTTTGCATAATTACCGTAAACGGTTGCACGCATATACAAAGCAAATACATAGGCTTAATTGCCTGATCCCAAATTATTTTCCAATTATTATGAGCATCGCCTAATTCATTGCAATTTTTATTGTTCGCTTCAATGCATCCATCTCTAAATGTACAACGAGTATTGAAAGCTTAAAACCAGAGCAAAAAATTATAAGAAAAAAATACCAACCAACCACAAAATGAGAAAATGCAATAACATAGACGTATGAAGCTTATACATTTAAAAAAAAGCCAGCGAAAGAAATTGTAATAAAAAAGGAAAAAAAAAAGAACGAAGTAATTACTACGAGTATAAATTGCTGTTAACCGCATTAATTGGGAAACAATTAGATTAAAGCGTGCAGACAATTGGAGAAAAGTAAACGCACTCAATTATGCGAGTAATGAGTAAAATATACAAACATATATGTATGCTATTTAAATATAATATTATGTTGCTTAGTAAGTGATGATGTGAGTAGTAAATTCCAGCGAAACAGAAAGGAAAAATAAGAAAAGCAAAAATAATAGAAATCTGGGTCAGTGAAAATAGCACTAAGAACGGTAAATTTAAACTAACCAAAATAGTATTTGTTCTGTCTGGGTGCAGCGCATTTATTTGAGGTTATGATGTCGTGTTTAAGCAAATAATCATTTATGAAACTTGGCTCTGCAAATTGTTCGATTGCGTTGATAAAAGACGCTGTTGAATGCTAAAAGCGTGCTCAACGGCACAAAAATAGGAGGGGGTTGGCTTAGAACAATTGCATGACTCCAGCATAAATAACAAATCTCATTTAGAGCATGGCGGCTAAAGTAAATAAACAGAACCATAAATTGTCTTCGTGTGTTTTGTGCTTTCGTGTCGGCATTTCGTTATGCAATATTACATATGCCTGAGGCTTCAGTTGTCTGATTTAAACTTTTGCTTCCAATTTTCTTCGTCAATTTGCAACTCTTTGGTGCTTACAATTTAGTAAGCATCGATGCTCCTGGAGTGCAATAGACCGTTTAATTCTTTTGGATTTCTTGACTTCTTCTCTATTCAGTTTAAAATTTCGTTAAAAGGGATTTAAGTACAGTGCACATATGTGCGAAAAACATTTGGAAAAGTTGAGAACCTCGAAACACCAAATAAAGTTAAGTCTTCTTTTTACCATCAAATATTGAAAGTAACAATGGGTGGGTCTTTTATGCTTATGCAGAATCGTCAAACTCGTACAGAAAGTCAGGATATGGCGTCACCTACTAATTTCATATCCTATAGATTTCTCGACGGTTTTCAACGTAATATGGTTCGCGGCCCGTTACACTTAAACTAGTGCTGTGACCTAAAAAGGATCGAAATCAGCGTATAAATTCATCTAACCTGTGTTAGTGGTTTGAAGTTAACAATAGATAAAATCATTTACGTTCCTAGCCCCCCATATACCAAATGGATTGATTTTCAAACTTCTAGTTAACTTTGTGTCGAATATAAGATATAGGTAAAACTTTGCAATATAACGAGTACTAAAAATTGATGATATTGACCGATTTCTTATATTGTCATAAATAGGCGCACGATCTATAAGTTAATTGGTTTATAACTTCCCGCAATAATACTGAATATTGAATCCAAGAGCAGTTTTATAATTTTTTAGATACCTAAAAATATTTTTCACAACTAATTCTTACGAATTCTGACAGTATAAATAGTTAGTATGTACCCGAACTTAATGTTTCCTTCTTCATTTATTTAAATATTCTAGAAAAAATCCATAACTACTAAATCAATCTACACACGAGGGCTGCTAGGTAAAAATCTGCTACCGTGTAGTACATTCTCATAGACGGCTGTTGTCAAAGTTTGTTTCGAATTGGACACGTCCTTTTGTTTTGATCTCATCTCAAAAATCACTTAGATCATTATCTTGCTTAAGACTTTGGGCAGTGTTTGACGTTCGTTGCATGATCGCCGATGAAACATGAATCCACTGGTACACACTAGAGAACAAGAAACAGCCAAAAATGTGGAGTCCACCCTTCGTTAAAGAAATTAGCCCAACGATGCGCCAATTATGCCTAACTAAAAAAAAAACAATGATAAAAAAATTGCATTTTTCAAAATGTACCATTACATCTTTTTTCTGTGGTAAAGAACGGAAATTGATCCATCTCCGAAAATTTGTATCTACATGATTTGTTATTGACCAGGTCTGATTAGATGAAAAAAGTTATATGTATGTGGTAAAAACACGCTTTTAAGCTAAGGCAATCGCATAATTAGCTTTATAAATTTAAAAAGTTTTTTTCAAAGCCACTAAATCAAAACTTTGTGACAGATTGCCGAAGTTCACAATAGCATAATTCACATTTGAACATAATTTTTCATTCACCCGAAATTCGTGATACGAATGTTTCGATCGCGTGAAAATAAAACTACATACGAGGTGTGTTCACAGAAAAATGTGAATTTTGAATTTTATTGAAAAGAACTTATTTATTAATATAGATATATTTCCCTTCAAAGTAATCCCCTCGAATATAATACACTTGTGCCAACGCTTTTTCGAATCCTCGCTCTTCTGAAATGCGCGTTTCGGTATAGCCATAAGCTATTTCTTCGATTCTGACTTGATCCCATCAGTTGTGACAAAACGCTTTCCTCTAATTGATTTCTTCAGTTTTGGAAATAGAAAAAAAGTCACTGGGAGCCAAATCTGGTAGTTTGACCAAACCTGAATTGTTGCTGCCGTCATTCAACAACTCCTGAGCGATACTAATGCGACATTGCTTTTGCTCAAAATTTAGCAGTTTCGGAACAACTTCGCTGCCACACATTTCAAACCCAAACCATTCGAGAAAATTGAATGGCGTGAACAGATTGATGTGACAACATCCTCTGCAACTTCCTTAATAGTGATTCGACGATTTTCAAGAACATTTTCTTTTCACTGCTTTGATGTTTGCATCGCTTGTTGACGTGGTCGCCCCTCCATGATGCTCATCGTCATCAGCATCTTCTCGGCCTTCTGTAAGGCGCTAGTGCCACTCATAAACACTTCATTGAGACAAAGTGGGCTCACCGAATACTGTAGTCAACATTTCAACTGCCTTGGAGCACTTTATTCAATTTTTATCGCAAAATTTAATACATATTCTTTGACCTATTTCTTTAAAAAGTTAAAAATCGAAGAGCTTAGAAAAACAGGACTAATCTTTTTTGGTGTCGAAAACAAACTACTAATCGAAATTGGCTCCTAATGCACGCACATGATAAACATATGTATCCGATTATAACAAAAGCAAAATATCGATAATCGAATATACACAGCCCGCAAAAAACCGAAATCCACTTTTTCCTTCAAACAGCTAAAAAGCACATTCATTATTTATTCGAAATAGGTTCCATTTAACTCAATACATCGATTGAAAAAAGCTGCCAGATTTTTTTATGTTATATATTGGAATCTTCCTCGGTTGCCTGAATGGATGAGATATTTATATATTATTACGCTAAAACTATTAATACAATAACATTAGTTATCAGTTGTATTTTCTATTAGTCGAATTTCAACCACCGGCGACCCTAAGACTAGGCTCCTTCATGTTGGTTTTCAGTTTTGGATATAGAAAATAGTGACATGGTGGTAAATCAGGCCTCATTTTACACCCTGCCTTTATTTCAATTGTGACCGGTGTTCAAAAGCACGATGGTATGTCATAGATTGGTTATCCACTTATCATCATTCTCGAACAGAATGCGAGAGGAAATCGGAAACTACATTGAATGGCTTCTTGACAAAAAGGCAAAAAATTGGAAACACAAAATACACTGAATGATCTGACTGACTTAAGGCCGTTTTCTCAATACTCGGTTAATTGGATGTATTTCTGCTGCCCAAACCGGTTTTCGTAGACGACGGGACGAAGCGGAAGCACGGAGGGACCATGCCACTAGTGCTCTTTTTCGTAACAGCTTGCTGCCTAATGTACATTTTTTATAAAAAAAATAAGCCGGCTAGTTAAATTTATATGGAAATACTTTTCTTCGTATACGTAAATGTTTAAAAGCTGAAATTTTGAAAATTCCTAACTCCAAAATGTTTCATACGGGTCAAAATAAAAAAAAATACGTGTCCAATATTATTTCTCAAACAACGCTTTTGTACGAAAAATTTTTTTGAATGTAAATGATCGATGGAATGAGTCATATATAACCCTAAATTTGGGTGAAAACTTAACCTAGCCCAAATATAACGAAAGTCAGAATTTTTGAAAATTTGGCTGACTTTACTCCATATAGATTGCTGATAGTATGAGAGGTACCTTAGTGAAGTCCAGGGAACATTTTACATAGCATGTTAATAGTATGTGGTATTGGCAAAATAGGTAAAATCGGGTCAATACTACCCCCAACTCCCATATAGTACATATAATGATTTTCATTTTCTTAAAAAGTTTTATTGCGAATATCTCGGTGAGTGTATGAGTTATGTATTTAAAAAATTGCATGAAAATATGTTCTCAAATATACCTGAGCAATGTCCAAATTAATGTAATCAGCCTTTTCTCTGTCCCCAATTCTCCCCATTTAATGATTTCCATCTTTCCACCTGACTTAAAACCGTTCAGGTTGATCGAAATGTGTGATAGTTTAATGAAATTAAATGGACAAGTTTTCTTGAAAATTATGTGGTTTAGCGCTGAATTAGAATGAAATTGGCATACCTTGGTTTAAACCTCATATCCCTAATATATAACTCAATAAAATTAAATCTATGTTAATCACTTTCAACATAAGTCACGAAGATACCAAATTGGCTTGGATGTTTATTTCTTTCGCAACGTTTTTAATATAAAGTTTTGCCAGCACCAGCGTTTATATTGTTATTATTTTTGTAACAAATAATTGCTTCAGGTTCTGAGATATCGTTTTTATTTGACGAGATATCTTTACTAAGTACGGCACAGATTATTGAGTAAGGCATCGCTACAATCTTCGAACATATTTTTCAGATGGAACCACAATAGCATATACATAGCTGCTATATAAACTGACCTATAAAAATCAAGATAAAGATCATTTTATGCCCTTTTGCGCTACAAAAAATGCACCTGTGAAAGGTATTATAGCTTCGGTGTAGCCGAAGTTCTTGTTAATGCTGCAATAGATAACGTGCATGTTGTATGATTTAAATATAAGGTTCCGTTATCTTTGCAACTCCACCAGTAATGCCAATAATATTTGTTTTTTAAATGTGTGCTGAAAGCCGATTTTCAGTTTTAAATATTCATATGTCTGATTTAAAATACATTAAAAATACATTAAAAATATCGAAATACTATTTTTAAACTATATTCCTTTCTAAAACCATTCCATTTGTGAAAACAATTTTAATTTAATTTTCATCTTTCACTATAAGCCGGGTGCACACCATTTAACTAAAGGAAAAGCTAGTTATGCGGCGTATAAATGTAAAACTACAAATATTTTAAAATATAATGCAATGTAAACACGACAACGCAGCATTCGCCATAACTAAAGCAACGCAACATGAATTCACTGCAAAGCAAACATTTGTATAAATTTCACTCTGCCCATGGTGCTTATACAAAACTTAATTACGATCACTCGTTTACAGAATCGGTTTACGTTACACACATAAAAAATATATTAAATTAATTTATTTTGCGTGAAAATGAAAATTAAAACCTGTGTTTATCAGTAGAAAACGGTGCTGTAAATACTACAGAGTTAGAAATGTGCAACAAACACGCACAAGTCGGCTTGTTCAAGTAAGTATGCACCGAAATTAATCCATAACTATGCGCGCTAATAGTGGTTTTCAATGAAAATAACAGTGTTTACTATATGCGTTAACATCATTACTCAATTTACTATAAATTAAAACCACTTATTAGGTGATTTGCATACACACACACACACACATGCCACTACATTAAAAGTGTGTGAAAACTGAAAGTGAAAATGAAAATTAGAAGTCTCAGTTTGTTCATCAAACGATTGCTTTGAGCACCTTACAGGCAACTGTACCAACCTGAATAAAAGCTGGTATATAATATGATTCACGTTGTAATGGACAACTGAATCAACCGTTGCCTGCCTTACAAAGAAAGAAGTGATATACCTTCCCTTAAAATTTCAGACTGCCTCCTTGATCTACTTCAATCCATGTACATTTGTAAGTAATAAAGGTACCTCTGCAATATTCCTGATAATGGCAATGAACGAGATGCTCTTTTGTTTCTCAAAGCAAATGTCTAAATTCGGGTACCCGAAAGATACAGAGAGGCTAGTAAGATGGCTGTGAGGCTTATCTTTGAATTAAGTTCTTAGTTTTTTTGGCGGATTTTGTATAATTTGTCGCAATACTGATTATTTCATTTGCATAACCTATAGAATTTCGAGATAGATTCTGCCAGAAATGTGTCTTACCTTAGTACTTATATTTTCGTCTAAGAGTAACCATAGTGAGAAGTGCGATACATACCATAAATGTGCGAATTAACACAACAACAAGGTTTCTGCAAGCAGCAGGAAGGACGGGTCACTATTTTTAATAGGAGTGGCACCTCTTTAATGTTGGCTGATATTACTTATACCACACTCTAGTATATGCACATTCGAGTGTCGAATTTTCTTTACAATAAGCCGAGAAGCCATATAGTTTTGAGTTGTTTATTTAGAGTTAAACTGTTACACCTCCGTCCAATTGATTGAGGCCACACCATCGTACTAAAGTTTTGTTTTTGAGTGCTTACCATTGTTTGAGATCAAAATAAATGATTATAAGGAATGAGAAAGGCCGACCTTCAACAAATTTAATCTTCAACAAAAAAATATCATAAATTAAGGAGAGGAAATCGCATTTATGAAATAGCGTATTGAAGGTATACAAAGTTATTTTTTATCCCTCTGTATTTCCCAATTACAGAGTTTTCGGGCAACATCATTACTTACGTGACATTGAGTATATGATGTGTACAATATTTGCGGTTTTTCTTCTCACTGAAAGATGCGGAGATGTAAACTTGTGGTTTAAATGAAAACGCGTATTTAAAAGAAGAAAAATTCCGTAGTTTACGTTGCCTTATAATCACTATACTTTATCTATATATATAATCATATTTCCCTAAGTTTTAATCATGCATAACAGCACACATAATTGGTCTACAGTACTAATACTTTAGCGGCATTGAAAAGAAAATTAACATAAATACAGATAATCTTGTATAGCCAGGGTAATTATGTCTTGTAATCAGAAAACCCCGAAATTTATCATAAATCATTATTCGTTTTTTTTTTTGAACGATCATATCTGCGTAGACAAGCGAGTTCTCATAACCCCTCGAAAATGACTCCAGCTGATCTCGGCTGATATACCACCGCTACACTTATATCCTTATTAGAAACCGGTTTAACGTAAAACCAAGCTAATTGAATAGGATTTTATCTGCAGTTGTGGCACAGAACATTTTTTGAAATGTGGGCAACACATGTCACTACAACTTGGTGTTTCTAATTATCTTGCCTGATTACCTCAGTTCTACTTCTGATAGTATTCAACTGCAACCCCTTTTCACTTAATGATCTGCGATTTGGATGCAGGCACACTTTCCTCCTTGCCTCTATCTAAACGAATTAAGGAGAAAATGAGCAGCGCAGAGCCGACGCACCGAAGCCGCACAGCAATATACGTACTGTTCGCATGCAACACCACGAGCACAATATGTAACTAGCTACACATTTGCACAGCAAAGAGCTAATAATCTGCGACAGGCAACGGCTACGAACGTATTGCTGTGTGTGGCATTTAGTAGGTGTTGTGTGACTGACTGAAAGTGACGGTGTTCGTGATAGAGCCAACATCATTCATAAGCGCGCGCCAGGGGGTACACCTTGGCATTGGATGTTGTTACATATTGGTATGGCAGTCAATGCTAATGTGATGAATGCTCATGATTGCTAGTGCTGTTTGCTACATACCACATATTGCATGCCGCACTAATATTTGATACTTGCGAATTGCAGATATGTTAGCCGATATGCTTGCAAAAACAAAAGGCGCCACAAATGCCAAGGCGGTGTAAGTGAATATTAAAAGCATAGAAATTACACATGATAAGTGCGAAGATTGCAACAAAGAAAAATGGTATCTAAATTACTGTCTAATTAATATACAATTACATACACATACATACTTAAATACAAATGCGAAACGTTCCTATGCACATAGGAGCAGGGGCAGATAAATCTGTACGGTCTTATTGGCTCGCAAAGACAATAAAACCATGTTGCATGCCCAGTCGAGTGTTTAGTCGACATCGCATTTTGCCGCAAAATACATTCGTGCTCGCGTTCTATCGACATAACTCCATATACCTTACAGAAATTAGTAGTCTTGGCTCGAAAACTGTCCGAAAAGTGGTGCAACAGTGGTGGCGAATGTGCAGCCGCGGCGTCCAATGTCAAGGACATTTGCGTTACATTAACGGTCAGTGTAGACAATAGATGTGCTCACAATATAATATAAATACGAACATACTCGTATAAAGTTACAATTAGAGAAAATTGCCATTATTCGTCAATATAAAAAATTGAAAATTCGGCAGAATGTCATACTCGAATAAACGGACGATCGCAGCTTCGGGATTCTGTTTGTGGCTTGTTCTTTGCGTGCAAATCTCCGCTGTGCGATCAGCATTGCATTCGCGTGCGCTATCATCGGTTGCAAGTGGCAATAGTAATGCCATTGGTGAAGGCGAAGCAGAGACAGAGGAGGCAGAGTCCGTTGCGGCTAATGAGCCAAACTATAAAAAGCAACAGCCTACACGTCAGAAGTCAAATGTCAGCGCAAAAAGGGACTTTTCGGAAAAAATGTCTTGGCAATGTGCGAATAATGCCAGTTGCCTTCATACACTAGCCAGTGACATGTTGCAAGCTTACAAGCACGGCGAGACCATTAGCTTGGGTTTCATGGATTTGGCAAAGTTGCCACCAGTGGGAGATAAGCACAAAGAAAAATTTGGTAAGGTCGCAACGGGCCGTGGCATTTCGAGTTTTGTTGATTTTATTGGTGGAAATGCTATACGTATACCAGTGGGGCCGATGGTGTTCAGCGTGCAACGCGCGGAGGATGATGACAATTACATTGAAATTGCGTTGCTGAAGAAGGCGAGCGGTAGTCAAGGTAGTTTTGCAGTGTTTTAGGAGTAAGAATAGAGTGATTATTAATATTAAAGTGTTAAAGTGCAAAAGTGATTTATTAGCACGTATCTTAAAAAGTGTGAAGTTGCGTAAACGTAAAAAAACAAAGCTACAAGCGAAAATACTAACAGAAGTAATAATTTAGTAAAAATAAAGAGAGTAAATATTTTTCCTGAATAATTATTATCATGTCTTTTAACGGAAGAATTACAACTATACACAACATCGAAATTATATACGGTTTATGAGTGCAATAAATTATTTCATTTTATTATTAGCAAGAAAAAACGTTAACTTCGGTGCAGCCCTTTCCTAATACCCTTCACAAATACAAAATATTGATTTTGATGGGTCAGTTTGTATGGCAGCTTAACAATTTCCCCGAAGATTACACCATTGCCTTTAATAAAATCGTATCCGAAATTTCATGAATATATTTCGTCAAATGAAAAATTTTTCCGTACAAAGACTTAATTGGGGCAAAGCTGTGGTCGGTTTAAATTACGAATCCAAATAATAAGATCCAACGTTCAGTTGTAAATAATGTGGTGGCAAGCCCGGCATATCTAATGAATTCAAAACCTCAATTGGATAATTCACAGCTTCGTTGGCATCGCAAACAGCATTAATAGATTTATATTTCACCAAGTCTCCTGACAATGACTGTCTTATTCTTGAATTTAACCCATTGACGCCCACAGTTTTACTGCCGAAATCAATCTTTCTGCCAGCCATCTTATATGTTGTGTGTACATCGGGAATATTATCGATGAGAGTATTTTCTGAGTTAAGATTATGCAGAAATCCGTAATTTTCTGTCGGCAGTATTTTAATTACATTGCTATATGAACAATTGTTTTAAGAAAGTTTTGGCAGATGCATCTCGAAGTATATAAACGCACATGTTTACTGTCAGTTGTATTTTTCAACATTACGACACAATCGCACTTATTTTAAGCAAGCGTTTTTAAACAGCTTATGTTGAACGTGGAGTGTCTGTCTGAAATCACCTGAGAGGAGCTAGAGAGTGCCGCCAAAAGTTTGTCACTGTGCATTCATTCAAATTGGTAATTTCTCACCGTTTCAGCACTGTGACCATGGACGATTGTGTTTTATGTTGCACACGCATCTGGGTTATTTTGAATGTTTGAAGGCTTAAATGTTAAATGAGCTGTTCTGCTTGCCC